ACCGCCCTCCCGCCCCAGACGTGGTTCCGTGGTTCCCAGCCGCTGCTGCCCGTTAGGTCACCTGGAGGGTTTTCCACACGCTCCTGCCCGGCCCGCCCTGGAGCAGAGTCAGCGTCACCTGGGAGCTGGGGGAAATGCAAATTCCGGGGCGCCTCGCCCACCTGCGGGATCAGAACCTCTGGGGGGTGGCGCCCGGGAATCTGTATTTCAACAAGCTCTGCGGGTGACTCTCGAGCGCCCTGCTTTGGGAAGCGCTGTTCCAGAGCAACCGAATCGCAGTCTCGGAGTTGGGGCGCTGGCTGTCGGGTCTTTCGGAAGAACTGAGGGTGGAGAACCACCGGCTGAGAGCTGACATCGGGCCAAGGTCACGGGGCAAGGGCCAGCCTCCACGGAGCCCTGAGAGGAGAACGTTCCTCCCCCTCCACCTCCTCCACCCCCAGTGCCCAGGGCACCGCCAGCTCCAGCCCGGCCCCTGCAAACCACTGCTCTAAGGCTGCCAGCCACTCCCCTAACGGAGGGCTCCCTGCGGCCACCGCGGCCCCTGCAAGATTTCACCGAATTCCGACTGTCCCAATCTTTAAAAAGAAAAGAAAGAAAACAAAATTTGGGAAAACTCTACAGAGCCGGTAACCCAGTTCTTTCAACAAACAAATGTCAAGGGAAAAAGAGAGAGATGGAGGAGGAGCCTAGAGAGACTCTGAAGTCACATCAACCAGTTCCACATGGGAACCTAAGTTGGCTCCTGACTCAAGCAAACAAACAGAAATGAGCTTCCCTGGTGTTTCTGAGACAATGGGGGGGATCTGAACAATGGCTGGCTGTTGGATGATGTTTAGGAATTTTTATTATTTTTAGGTGTGATAATAGATGGTGGTTTCTTTTAAAGCCCTTATCTAGCGGAGATACACACGTAAAGATTTATGGATGGAATAATAGGGTGTCTGGGCTTTGTTTTAATAACAGCAGGGGCGGCCTGGGTGGGAGTAAGGATGGGCAGGGTCGGTCAGGGGTAGATGGGGGCACATCCGGTCGCTATACTCTTCTACCTGTATGTGTGCTCAAGACTCTCCGTAATAAAAATAATCATAAAGAAAGGCAACTCAGATCAGCCTCCCCTGAATACATTCCTTGGCTCCCCACTTAGGGCAAAACCCAAATGTCCTCCCACGTGGTCGGACTCCACCTCCCTTTTCAGGCTTCTCTCTGTTCTTCACCTCGGGGTGCTCCCGCCGCCTGCCTCTGCCTGGGACACTCCCTCCCATCCGCCACACCCTCACCGCATGCCCCCTCCCCTCCGCCTCCAGGCCTTGGCTTCCATATCTTTTCTTAAGAGCAACCCCCTTCTCTGAGCAACCCCCTACCCAGACGGGCCCGCTGGCTCCCCTGTGGTGTCCTGTGTTTTTCCTCCAGAACAGTGGACTGTTGTCTAGAACTTTCTCCCCACAGGATGGGAGCTCTTTGCAGGCATGCCTCCCCCATGCTTCAGACAGTGACGGCCTCTGGGTGCTCTCTCCTGCAGGCACATCTCCTGGGTCCCATGCCCAGCCTGGCCCTCCACCCCCGAGCCTAGAGCCTGACCAGGGAAGGCCAGAGAAGCAGAGAGAAGGTGGCACAGCCGGGGCTGCCAGCACAGCCAGAGGTAGGCTTGCCACCTGCGCACCTCTCATCCAGACAACAACACGTGAGAGCAGCCCAGAATGGTGATCTTCTAGAACAGCGGTTCTCAACCTGGGCTGCACATTAGAATCACCTGGGAATCTTTTTAAAATCTTGATTTCTGGGCTTCATCCTCCGGAAATTCTGTTTCTTTGTTACTAATGTTGTGGCCTCACCCCATAACAAAGAAACAGAATTTCTGGAGGATGAAGCCCAGAAATCAGGATTTTAAAAAGATTCCCAGGTGATTCTAATGTGCAGCCAAGGTTGAGAACTACTGTTCTAGAACATCATTCCCACAGCCTTCTCCTCCCTCCCTCTCCTCCCTGGGTCTCCACCTCCCTGTCCATCCCACCCTCTTCCAACTTCCCAAGGCCTGAGTCTCCCCCTGGCTCAGACTCAGCCCTGCTCCCCCAGCCCCAGCCTGGCTCCAGGCCCAAGGGACGAGGGGAATGAGTTTGAACGGGCACCTTGGGGGTGAGGACCACAGCGGAGCCCCCACTGATGCTGAGGATGGGCACGTGAGTCTGGGAGGAGATGAAGTCGAGGATCTGGGCCACGGCCTCGGTACCCACGTTGTCCTCAAAGACGATGCCATGGACGCGAGCCGCACCCAGGAGCGCGCAG